TTTTTTTTATAATATAAAAAAAAAAAAAAAAAAAAAAAAAAAAAAAAAAAAATTATAGAATGGTATAAACATTTGCTTAGTAAATTTAATTTTAAATGAATTAAAGTTTAGAATAATAAAACAAATTTAAGATTATTTTATTTATTTATATTTTATTTATAATTAATTATTTTTTTTTTTTTCAAGTTTTTTTTGGTATTTTGTTGTTAATGCATGGTGATATTTTTTCTTTAAAATAAAAATTAACCCATGAAAAATTTTAAATATTCAAATAGGAAATAAAAGAACTTTACATATATGTGTATTTGTATATATATATATAATACCTTTAGTATAAAATGACGTTAATAAATATAAATAAAATTATTAAGAAAACTTTTAAAAGTGAAATTAATATATTAAAAAATAATAATATACCAAATAATAACTTGAGAGATATTGGAAAAAGATACAGTACAATTCAAAGACCAAATTTATATATAGAAAAAAAAAATTCATTTTTTATGAATTATAGAAGTCTTAGTAATAGCAAAATATTCTTAAATAAAGATAATGACTTTTATGAAGGAGAACATTTGAATAGAAAATTAGGTGGATATGGTTATCCAATGATGTTTATTGTTACTTATGATAAACCAAGTTGGCAACCTTTTTGGGAAAATGATTGCGAAGTTATACCAAGAGATGAGTTTGGAGTTCCAGCTAGTTTACCACCAGAAGTTTCAACAAAAATTAAACATACATACTATGTTCCACCTCAATTTTACACATTTTTAAAAAAATTAGGAGATGATTCAGCAGAATTAAAACCATATATGACGAAATTAATAAAAGGAGAATTTACATATGATGATTATCAAGAAATGTTTTATAAATTTGCTAAACCGTTAAAAATTTATAGAAAAAAAATTCCAATTCCATATAGAACAGCTGAAGAAATGGCACGAGAAGAAGAAATGAAATGGCAATCTTCTTGGTATACATATAGGCAAAAAGTTTTGGCAGAATATAATGTAACAATGTGCTTAAGAGAATTTATTTTATATATGACTGTTGGATTATATTTTGCTTATTTATGGCTTGACGCATTGAGACAATATCGTCTTGATATGAAACTTTTTTACTTAGAAGCACCAGAACATAAGATTAATTGGGTGAAACCAAGAGGTGATTTAGTTTAATAGAAAAAAAAAAAATAAAATAAAATAAAAATGAGAAATAGAAAGAAATAGGAAGATATAGGAAAATATAGGAAAAAAAGAAAAGTGGAAAAAGAAAAAATAATATAAACACCCATAGAATTATTTTTTACTTAATTATTTTAATAATATAGAATTATTTATGTAACGTTTTTTTCAAGATTTTTTTAATAAGCTTACAAATGAAAATTATGAATTACTTTAATAAAAAATTTTTATTTTTATTTTTATTTTTGTTTTATTTTTATATAATACATTTTTTACATATAACACATATAAATTTTTTTTTTTGTTAATTATGCATATTTTTTTAAAATTATTTATATTTTTTAATAATTTTAAATATTAAATCTTTTCTGTAATATATTTTTTTTGAACTTTTATTTTATTTATTTCTTTTTTTATCTTTATAAAAAATTACGTTAAATGCTTAGATCAACAAAAAAAGAAAATCACCTAAAAGTTTTTATTTGTATAAATAAAATTTTTTTTTAAAAAAATTAAAAAAAAATGAAAATAAAAAAAAAAAAAAAAAGAAATAGAAATATTGTAATAAATATTAGAATCAGTAAAATTTCAAAATTTTAATAATTTCAATACATATATATATATATATATATATAAATATATATGGATATTTTTTTTTATACATTATCATATTTTAAAGTAATTTTTAGAAGTGTCATTCAAAAAATTACTTAAATATGTGTACTTTTTTTTAAAATATTCACAATATTAAAAATAAATGTATATTACATCAATTAGATACAAAATTATTTTAATTATTCAAAAATTTATACCAAAAATTAAGAAAATTGCTTTGTTTTATTTACATTAATTTTGTATAATTAAACAAAAAAAAAGCAACCAACTGTTTTTTTTTTTTTTTTTTAAATACATATGTATATTTTACAAAATATTGTTTTTTTTTTTTTTTTTTTTTTTTTTTTAATTTAAAAAGCATAACTGCGAATTTTTTTTTTTTTTTAATTATTCAATAGATAATGAATTAATAAATTCTTTGGCTTCATTAATATGTGAATTCATTTGATCATTATTCNGAATAATGATCAAATGAATTCACATATTAATGAAGCCAAAGAATTTATTAATTCATTATCTATTGAATAATTAAAAAAAAAAAAAAATTCGCAGTTATGCTTTTTAAATTAAAAAAAAAAAAAAAAAAAAAAAAAAAAAATTTTTTTTTTTTTTTTTTTTTTTTTTTTTTTTAATTTAAAAAGCATAACTGCGAATTTTTTTTTTTTTTTAATTATTCAATAGATAATGAATTAATAAATTCTTTGGCTTCATTAATATGTGAATTCATTTGATCATTATTCCAATGAAATTCATCTTTTAATAAATGTGCTATCCTATTAATAACTTTGTTTGATGACTCTGAATCAATGAAACCTAATCTAAATCTTCTACCAATAATGTCAGAAATTTTGGTAGCGAATTCATATCTACTTGCATAAATAATTTCTGCTTCGATATATGGTTTTGTGGAATCTATTTTATTAAACAAATTTAATTCTTTAGCTAATTCGCAAACTTTTTTTGATAAATATCCATAGTTAGATACTAGATGATTTGCTGTATCATAATCTAATTCAGGATATTTTTGGGTAAGTTGTTTGCTTAATTTACTACATCCAAAAGTTAGATCTTCTAATTTAAAAATTCCTTTTTCATCATGACTACCTATTAGCATTAAAAATTTTGTTCTACAATTATATTTACTTTTTATTTTATCTTTATGATTAGACAATATATAATCAATAGTATCTTGTGCCATTTTTCTATAAATAGTCCATTTTCCTCCTAATATACTAATTAATCCATTTTCATCTTCAATGATTTCATGACTTCTTGATATTTCATGAGTAGTAATATCTTCATCTTTTTTATTTTTATTTTTAGCTTCTTTAACTAATGGTCTGAATCCACACCATGCCGCTTTAATATCATTTCTAATTTCATTTGCACTTACATCTATATATTTAGATAATTCGTTTGTTAAAAAATCGATATCTTTTTTTTGAATTTTTGGATGATCTTCTATACTTCTATGCTCATCAGTAGTTCCTACTAAGGTGCAATTTTCCCAAGGTAAAAGAAAAAGAACTCTTTCATCACTAGTTTTAGGAATTATTATACCATTATTCTTAGATGAGTACCATTTGGGTAAAACAAAGTGACAACCAGCAGATAATTGTATCATTGGTTTTCTATTTTCATCTGCTAATTTGCGAATAATATCACCATGAGGTCCTGTTGCATTAATAATAATTTTTGCATATATCTCAATTTCTTTATTATTAATTTTATCAAAAGCTTTCACACCTATAATTTTATGATTTTCATCTTTAATAAAATTTATTACTTCCATATGGTTACATATAGTAGCTCCCACTTGCCCTGGAACGTAATTATCAATTGCACTTGTTAAAATTAAATTTAAATTCATTCTACTGTCATTATGTTGTCCATCATAATAAATAAGTGATCCTTTTAATTTTTCTTTTTTTAATAATGGAAAATTTTCAATAGTATTAGATTTTCTAATATAAATTGAATTGGGAACACCTTTATCAAAACAACATACTAAATCTGCCAAAAAGTCATAAATTTTAATATTATAAGCAAAATAAGGAACTTGCCATAACTTATATATAGGCATTAAAATTGATACAGGTCTAGACATAAAAGGAGCAATTTTCATGGCGTGTGCTCTTTCAGCTAAAGCTTCCCATACAAAATATAATTCTGAGATGTCTAAATTTTTAACAGCATTTTCTAGATATCTTATACCTCCATGTAATAATTTTGTTGACTTTGATGATGTTCCACTTGAAAAATCATTTTTATCAATGAGTGCACATTTGATTCCTCTTGTTGCACAGTCTAGAGCTATTCCACCACCAGTTGCACCACCTCCAATTATTAATATATCATAATGATTACTTTTTAACTTTTTTATCATTTCATTTCTATTATCAATTGAATTATATTTATAAACTACATCTTTCTCAATCATGTTTTTCAAGAAATTTATCTTCAAAAAATAAAACCCTCCTACAGATAAAACACCCAAACCACCAGAACCATATAAAATTTTCCTTAACATTTTATTAATCTATATTATTTATATTTTATACTAATTAAATATGGTTAAAATGAAATTTGATTAATTAAAAGTTCATAAAAACTTTTTTTTTTTTCTCAATAATATATATATACACAAATTAGTACAGAGCTATATTATGTTTAAATATATAAACATATATAATTTAGAGTAAACACACGTTTGAAAAAAAAAAAAAAAAAAAAAAAAAA